AACGGTCACATATGTGTATGTAATACAACTATAGTTGTAATTTCTTCAACTCATGCTCTTTCCACCGCACACAAAACAGACCCTACGGGCTTCGCGAGCGTCGATTTCGTTTCAGGGTCGTCCCATAAGGCAGGTGGAATATTTCGAGGTTGAGCTTTGAGCGACATCGATCCACTTCTGTAGGAACCGTTTGTCCAGAGCAACACCCGTTTTAAACCTGCGGAAGCATGCATTGGCGAACATACCAAGGATTACGAGGTCATTCGAAGGTATGGCACAAGTAATTGTTCTTGTTTATCGTAGAAAGTGTTTTCCCTAGTTCATCTGTATTTTCATACGTGCTTTGGCGGTTATGAACCATAGTGTTCTGAACGATTTCGAGATCTTCGTCTAGCTTAATCTTGGGCTATCTGGCTCCCATTCTTCTACAACTCCTTCGTAGTCTAAACGCATTGCGACTCTTGCATGGTCATCAGGTTGGCACATTTGGATGATTTAATCATTAATCGCGTTTCTTGGATGCATGCGATCGGTGCGTACAAAGGCTGCTTCCAAGGACTGACAGTGACTTCAAGGTGATAATAATTAGCTTCTTCCGTAGTCGAAGCAGGTTGTTCTGCGGTGGCCCTGAAAAGGGTCTTTGGACTTGGGCTCGCGGTGATAATGTCTTCGTATCTGGAAATGCACTGAGTAGCTGACGTCTGGCCATTTACCTTAGGCGTCTGCTGATATCTGACCTTGGTATCATGATTGACTATTTATATCACAATATAAGTCGAAGTGGTACAACTTGGAGGCGATCAGAGGCAAATATCCAATCTCCCATGTGCTATGTTATTACGACTGTCACAATCACTGGTTTAGCCGATCCTAATATCGTCCCGGTTAGCTGTTGTCCTCCTCTACCAGTCATTTACAACCTCCGCCATCAAGTTTAGCCAATTTTTCTTCCATTATTTGTAACCGTACATTGCCGAAGAAGAAATGACTTAAACATCGGCCCTAGCACGGTCCTACCAGGTCTTAAATGGCTTGCCTCTTTTCCAGTGCCGTCAAAGAATCTCGTTGGGCTTCGATGTAAATGTAGAGACATTGTTTGGTAGATTTCTCACCGCGTGCTCCAACCAACAGAA